AAAAGGGTTACTTATGGGAATATAAATATTGCTTTAATAAAGTTATATTTTCAACCCTCTCTTATTTACAACATCTAATCTGACTTCACTGGGTGTATGGGCCTCATTGGCAAAATCTTCCAAAACCAAGGAAAAGAAAAAAAAAATCATTTAAAGTCATACACAAATTATTCAATTATTCTGTTCCAATAATTTTACTATCTAGGCATAACTTAAAATAGAGTTTAGAGAAGTTTAGTGTTTAGCACACTTATCTAAAAAGAACAATATCCCTTTTAAAAGGAACATGCGTGGAAATATTAATAACCGTAGAAGTACAAGGTCTTAAATCACTATTTTATGGGTTTTAATACCTTACTCCGCAGGAACTTTATGGTCTTTCCATAAAGACTTTTCATATTATATATAAAAAAGTGGTGTTTCTGGAACTCATGAAAAGTGGGCATATAAAATCTGTCCTGAAGGAAGAGCTTAAATAATTATGTGCATTGAGTGAGAGATGGAAACCCAGTCTCAATGCAGGGAGACAGAAAGGCTCAGGCAGCACTCATGCATCCTTAGGGAACGTGGTAGATGGGCTAAGAGCTGCCCAGATTTTTTTTCAAAACCAGCGTATTCCCAGATATTACTAAATTTTGAGGGAAAAGGTATTAATGGGTCTTAACAAATAATTGAAACAATTTAATGAAGTAGAAACAATTCCAAAGAACCATATTAAGTAGATTTCCTTGAGGAAAAATAAAAACAAAAACAAAAACAAACAAACAAAAAAAACAAAGAGCCAGTATTAAGATCTCTCAAACTTGTGAACCCACTATACTCACAAAGGTATAGAAATAACCTCAGTAGGCCGGGCACAGTGGCTTACACCTGTAATCCCAGCACTTTGGGAGGCCAAGGCGGGAGGATCACTTGAGGTCAGGAGTTCAAGACCAGCCTGGCCAACATGGTGAAACTCCATCTCTACTAAAAATACCAAAATTAGCTGGGCGCAGTGGCAGTTGCCTGTAATCTCAGCTACTCGGGAAGCTGAGGTAGGAGAATCACTTGAACCTGGGAGGCAGAGGTTGCCGTGAGCTAATACCATGCCACTGCACTCCAGCCTGGGCAACAGAGTGAGACTGTGTCTCAAAAATAAATAAATAAATAAATAAATAACCTCAGTAAAGTAAGGTTCTGGTCTGTCTAAACAAATGTTTGTAAATAATCTTCAAATGAAGAGGTAAATGTAAAAGGAAATAGAGTACATATAGTTATATTTAGAGCAAATATGAATATAATGAAGATCCTCATATCCTCAGAGACAGCCACTGACTTACAAGAGAACATTTGTGAAAATATATGCATATTTCTAGAATTTTCAACCTGTTGGTATAATAGCAAGCAAAGGAATAGTACCACAATTTAGGAACATACATATATTAGGAAAAAAATGTCCTCGAGAAGATGGGAACTCTTTCCTGTAAGTGAATAAAATGAGTAGCCTTCTTGTTTTGCACTAGTTAACCTTTATTTTAGTTTAAATAAATGTTTTAAGCATAGGAATTTGCTATAATATCATTGGGGAACAACCCACAAACCTTTTTTTTTTTTTTTTTACAAGATCCCATTATTATCACTCTATGAAATATGTGATTACCATCTTAGAAACTGTTTAGAGAAGATAGAGGAGAGAAGAGATAGCTGAAGGTTGCAGTGCAAATGGTAAATCCTGTGATGAATGGACTTTGCTCATCATTTGACACAGAGGCTGTAACATAGGTGAACTAACTGCACAATAGCTTCTGTGGTGGTATTTTCCATGTGTAATATTTTCTTTTCATTTGAATTTTTCATAAAGGTTAACACCTTTTGTTAATTTTTTTATACCAGCACCTTAGTCTCTGAAACTATTAGACTCGGTTGCCTTACTTTCCTTTTCCTCTGTCACCTCTAGTCAATGACTTGGATAATTGGTTTGGCTGCCCATTTTGAGAAAGCATATAACAATCTGAACGCTACTATTCTCTCTGGGTTTAGAATGACTGGTGTTTTAAATGAGCATCTTAAAATTATATATAATAAACACGTTTCTTGAAAAGAAAGTTAGAGCAACTCTAAAGAGCTGGAAGATTTGCAAGGATTGTTGTTGTCTTTTACATCAGTGAAATTATTGTTTGGAAAATTGTAACGAAATATATAGAAACATAATGAAAAATAATGGCAGTTGAACAAAAGTAAAAGTAATAGTTCGTACTTCTTGAAAGTTTCCATATTAAGGGATTTTATTTCACTTTTCATTTATTCAGTAATACTGAAATAATAAAAAGTATACACTACATTCTGAAGTTCCTCTTCTCCTTTGTATGACTTTTCTATTTCTTCTTCTTCCCATGCACCATCCTCAATGCACTGAGCTCAAGAAGTCTGAAAGATCTTATAAAGTAGGAAGGAAACTTTTATCACTTTGCTTTATCCTCTTTTTAAGTATTCTTAAAATGTTTTATAGAATATACAAACTTTTTATAAAATAGCTCTTTGAGGTTTTAATGACAAGCCTGACTTGCCCCTTTCCCATCTCCAACCTCAGCTGAGTCCAGTGTAGTAGTTGAGCTTGGATAGACCCAAGGGAGAGAGAACAAATTATACTCAATTGCTACTTGTCTGTTTTGTTCAGGGCTTCGTTACTAAGTCCACCTTATCATGCCTGAATCCTTCCTTCTTGATTGGGAATTCTTTCGTAGGAGGCTCCACGGTGGCTTAAGCAGGACTGTCTCTACCTTCTCACCATACCTGGTGGGATCTCAGATATTGGGTCCCTCCTGTGCCTCTAATCTTAGAGTTAAATGATCCCTTAGATTCTTCTGATTTAGTCTTGGATTTCGTATTTTGCATGAATAGCTAACATAAATGATAACCAGACCACCCACAAGGAAGTTTGATTGAGTGGTAAAGTCTTTCTGAAATTGTTATGACAGCTTTTATAAATGGGTAGAAAATGAGTGCTTGAAGATATCAGATGTGATCTACTACTTGAAGAAGGTAATGGACTTTGAATATTTTGGGGCACTTAGGAATGGTAAAGTTTTTTCAGGGGTGATGGCTGTTTAAAAAAAGTTACAAGAACATAAATGCAATTATAAAACTGGAAAATGTCTTTGGAAATTGAACCAGTTTCAACTTACATAGTTAACCACCCAGAATATTTGGAGCACTGTACCCTTGTATGCAGCAGAGAATAAAATGAGATGGCAGTCAGTGCAAATACCACTCCTAGTCTCTATCAGGAACAGGAGAAAGCAAAATTATTCTTTAGTGTTTTTGCACACCCCAAATCACTTTTTCTTCCCTCACCCTCATGCCAAAGGATCCAAATACATTATATGATTATATGATTTGCGTGTGTGTGTGTGTGTGTGTGTGACAAGAGCCCTACCATAAACTTGTCATCTTTAGGCAATACCTCCATGCTGTGATGCCATCATTCTATCCTGTACCCTATTAAAAATAGCCTTCTGCAAACTGACCATGTTGGAAATTTGTATCTCTCCTAGGTATGTTTGTTTTGTAATGGTAGACCATAGTTTAGCTTAAAGGAACCCTGCTGTTGGAAGTTTGAATATTAGGTTTAGGTTAATGGGGTAATATGTAGGCAGAATTAATTATGCGCTCATAATTCACCAAATTACATGAAAGTAAGTACACACTGCAAATGGGGCCTACATGTCTGTAAAAGAAAATCAATATAATGTATTAGGAAGAATGTGAGACTTGGAGTCTTGGCTCAACAATTCCCAGTGTATGATATTGGACAAGTCTCCATTATCTCGGTAAATAAAACAGGTTAATAATACCTACTTCTCTGGATTAATCATGAAGAAAAATGAAATCATGTAGATTTAGGTCTTTTATGAGCTGTTAAGTGCTATATTCAGAATGGACCAGTAGTGGGAATATAAGCTTCTGTATTCATACACACATGTGTTTACAAAAATTCTACGTTAGGCACAAAGCCACTTTATAAAATAATATGTATATATAAATATTTTTACATAAACTCCATCTTCTACAAAAGTGTCTATGTTTCCATTATGGTTTATAACAGTAGTCCTAGAAATGTTTAGTTTATGCCATTTAAGGTAGAGTGGTAGAATTGTTTGGTAGAGTTTCAAGGGACTAGACATAAAGAGGACAAGTATTTTTATCACTTTATGACTTTTAATTTCTTCTGTAATATGGTTGTACCTTCTTTTTTATTTTTTAAATTTAATCTTAATTTTTCTTTTTTTATTACTATAAGTACTGGGGTACATGTGCAGAACGTGCAGGTTTGTTACATAGGTATATACATGCCACGGTGCTTTGCTGCACCCATCAATCAGTTATCTACATTAGGTATTTCTCCTAATGATATCCCTCCCCTAGCCCCCAACCCTGAACAGACCCTGATGTGTGATGGTCCCTTCCCTGTGTCCATGTGTTCTCGTTGTTCAATTCTCACTTATGACTGAGAACATGTAGTGTTTGGTTTTCTGTTCCTGTGTTAGTTTGCTGAGAATGATGGTTTCCAGCTTCATCCATGTCCCTGCAAAGGACATGAACTCATCTTTTTTTATGGCTGCATAGTATTCTATTGTGTATATGTGTCACATTTTCTTTATCCAGTCTATCATTGATGGGCATTTGAGTTAATTCCAAGTCTTTGAGGATAAGTATTTTTTAAGTTATTTAAAAAATTTTGTACCCCAGTTGCTTTAGTCTTTCTCTCCTGTGATCAAAGAGATTGATTTCAAGCCATTTATATATAGATGAGTCTGTTCTGTGCACATAAATAATGTTATGGTAAAGAAGAAAACTATACAAGCACATTTCTGTAGGGCAATAGTGATATTTCCATTGTGAAACAGGATGGGACAGAGAGAAAACACAAAAGATGTAGGAATGACAATAATCTGCATTCTCTCAAGAAGCAAACCAAACCTTTTAACCATACCAATCTTTATTATTGTTATTAATTGTAGATGGGGCACACTGAGAGGAGCACAAGGGAGGAAAGAAAAATTTTGGGTATGTATCTCTTTCCAGTTGAATTCTTGCTCTGAAGTGAATATGTTTGAATCTTCTGTTCCTCTGCCTGCTTTGTATTATTTAGTCACATCCTCAGTTGTGTAATATTGTTGATAACATCAGTGTTTTCACCAGCACAAAACTCATTATAAACATTTATATTGTATTTATAGTTTTCCTCAACTCCTAGTATTTCAAATTGTAAAAGAAAAATCAGTGTTTATTTTTCTTCAAGTTGAGAATCAACAGGGTAACTTTTTGTTCTATTATCTTCTATATTAAACTTAAAGTATTGATTAAACTTCCCTCATATATATTTATATGGCAAGGAACTTGATGCTTTTGTTATGTTAGTATATATATCCTATAGGTTAAGGCTTTTTTTTTTCTTTTTGCCAATTATAACATACACATGTGTCTTTACTCAGAAAGAACCAATATCCAGTCTCAAAATAACAGAAAGTTTCAGGCAAGAAACTATTTGAAGAAGATTGGAACATATTATATCAAATATTCGGTTTATTACAACAAGTTGGTCAATTGTCCAAAGTCCTAATATTATGTACCTTTTTATATAGATAGAATAAAGTCTAGATGGTAATACTTACCATGGAATTTAAATTTAAATGTACACACTAGAGGGTATATTTTGGCTTAAAAAACACTAGGTGCTAGAACTTGTACTCATCAGAATGACTCTTGGTATATTTCTTCATAAGGCACTCACAGAATTCAATCACCCAATTGTGTGTTCATACCTTATATTTGTGTTGTTGATATATGGAGGTATTATGCTTTTAAGTAGAAGGGTTCTTCTTTATAGTTAAACTGAGCTTTTAAAAATTAATTTTTCTCATTAAAATAAAATAATGAGTAGCCAACAATCAACATTAATGTCCAATAGTTAAAATAAATAAGTTATATACTAGGATATGTTATTTGAATACCTATTATTAAGTTGCTGCATAGGATTTTTATTAAATAAATTTGAACAGTTATTTAATCTCATAACAATGTAATATTTAGAGACAAAACCAAGTTCTTTGATTAATGTATTTAACTCACAACAGTTCTTAGCATATAGCACTTGATGGCCATTTGCTGAGTGAATATGAATGAATGTGCAGAGGAAAACATTTTATGACCCTTTCATCCTCAACCTGATCATTCCCACCCTAGAGCCATACCTCTAGGTAGTGTACATGTGTACACACACACACACTCACTAAGTATGATTATGTACTCACTCATTTTCATATATTTAACACACACATGCACACTATCCCTTTTAAGTACATTGTTGTACTTACTGTCAATTCTGAATTTACTACTTATCAAACATCTTCAAAGAAAATTTTATTTCATGGGGCTAGGGGTAAGATTTCTTTCTGCTATGATTTGTTTGATAAACTGTTGAATGTGAGCAGTAGAAATACAATAATCAGACTAAAATTTATAATATTTTGCACATTAATTGAAGCTTTTTCTCTACTAAACTGTGTTCTCCTCATGAGTCAGGATCATATTTGACTTATTTACCAATGTATGTCAAGGGTAAAATATTGTGATTGGTACATAGTAAGAATATAAACAATACTCATTGAATGAGCAAATGAATAACTTTATGCATTCAGGAAAAACTAATCAAGTAATTAAATAATTTTATTTTTTATAAAACATACTAATGGTTTAATTAAAATATGAAATATTTAAGTACTGTTGTACCGTTTTGTAAAGAATTGTGAAAGGTCTGAGATATTATCCCACAGATATAGATGATATAGATATAGTTATAGATATAGACGTAGCTAGAGATATAACACCTGGGTCAGAAGTAAAGAGTTCTTAACAGATACTCATAACTAGATCGACAACCAGAGTAATAGAGCAGCATGCATCCCCCACACCTTAGTCCTACAGTGATGTGATAAGAGTCAATAAAATTTGTCTACACAGGTAGCAGTTTATATCTCATAAATGAGGGACAAGGAACAATAGATTTTCTCCATTTGTTTACAGGAGAGAGACAAGCAGATTCCTCCTTTCCCAACAGGAAGGAAAAATCTTTCATTCCATTATGATGAGTTGAAGAGGATCCTATGTTCTCACTATAAACTTTAGGAACATAAACATATCTTTCCAAGGGCCAGATAAACAGCAGATAAAGTCTCCAGATGATGGGCTGCATATCTTTTGAGATGTAAATACCGAAGGAGATAACATCCCCATACTTCTGACACCTTAGAACTTACTTTAGGACCTTGTCTCTGCTCTCTTTGAACCTCTAGAAGAGATAAGAGAAGTTTTGTTATCCCTTCAGATCAGATCATTAAACTAAATGAATGGCTACATATATAATTCTCAAGGTATGAGAAGAGTAGAATATTTTTAGGAGAAGTGAAAGAAAACATTCCCTATCTTTATATTATATACAATGTTTTGTGGGTCAGGGAAGCAGAAACTTTATTCAAGAGCACTGAGAAATCTAGGAAAGTTTTATTTCTTCACAATTATATATGGATGTTTCAAAGTATTTACAAATAGTCCTATGACATAAATCTATTTTTATAATAAAAATATTGGATGTCTTTCACTACTAAGTAAAATATAATACATAGCAGCAAGCCACAGATTCTACTATATAAGTAGAAAATATCAAGATTTTTCCAAAATTTTGTTTTTTAAAAAATGAGAGTGCTAAATCTGGAGAAAATTTTTTGGCTTAGGAGTGTTTGGTAGGTTTGGGCATAAAGTGAGGACTGGGTTTGTAATAGGCATGCTATGATTTGTTTGAGTTAAATGAGACAAGTGAAGCACAAAGATGTGACCAGCAACCAAGGGAAAAATATTATCAATAGAAGCAATAGATGATACTTTAGATGCAGGCTTTAAAATAACCATTATTTTAAAAAATTAAGAAAAATCTAGATGGAGAATTTCAATCTATAATTAGTTCAACCATTGTGAAAGAGTGTGGCAATTCCTCAAGAATCTAGAACCAGAAATAACATTTGACCCAGCAATCTCATTACTGGGTATACACCCAAAGGATTATAAATCATTTCACTATAAAGACACATGCACACACAGGTTTATTGCAGCACTGTCCACAATAGCGAACACTTGGAACCAATCCATATGCTCATCAATGATAGAATGGATAAAGAAAATGTGGCACATATGTACTATAGAATACTATGCAGCCATGAAAAAAAATGAGTTTATGTACTTGGCAGGGACATGAATGAAGGTGGAAACCATCATTCTCAGCAAACTAACACAGGAACAGAAAAACAAACACTGCATGTTCTCACTCATAAGTGAGAGTTGAACAATGAGAACACATGGACACATGGAGGGGAACATCACACACTGAGGCCTGTTCGGAGTTGGGGGACTAGGAGAGAGATAGCATTAGGAGAAATACCTAATGTAGATGACGGTTGATGGGTGCAGCCAACCACCGTGGCACGTGTATACCTATGTAACAAACTTGTACGTTCTGCACATGTATCCCAGAACTGAAATTATAATAAAAAATGAGTTCCTGAATTCATGAATGCAAACATGGCAAGAAAATCACACTCAAACATTTCATGATCAAACAGTTGAAGATAAAAAAACCATAAATTTAAAAACAGGCACTATTTAAAATGACACATTACTCTCAAAAAAAGCAGCACTGACTGACAGCTGGCATTTCAACAACAACAATATAAAAGGAAAGTAGAAGACTACAAAATGACATTGTTAAAGTGCTGGATAAAATAATAATATTGATAATGATGATGAAGATAACATGCCAACGTGGAATTTTATGCATGATGACACTTTTCTTCAAAATAAATACAAAATTAAGACATTTTTAGACAAACAGAAGCTCAACACAGTTCCAAAAAAACATACACCAAAAGTTACAGAAAAAAAGTAGGCAAATATTTAAACATGTCTCAGTATCTCATAGAAATAGCAGCTAAAAATAAGTAACGGTATGAAAGATTGAAAAAAACTATTAGCCAGCTTTATGTCATTGAAATTCATAGATTATTACATATAAATATTGATGAATATACATTCTCTTTAAGTACACATGAAATTATTTGCCAATATTGACCACATTCTGGTCCATAGCACACATTCAATAAATTTAAATAATTGAAATTGTACAGAATATACTACGATGAAACTTTTGTTACTAGGTAAAGTGGTACCGAATGTAATAGTAAATGCATGCATTGAAAAAGAAGAAAGGTTGAAATTGATGCACGTATTTTTTAAAATGTTGAAAAGAATAATTCAATAAGCTGAAAAATTTAAACTAAAGATAAAATGAAAGAAATAATAAACAGAAGAGCAAAAAAAAAAGTAAAAGAAAACAGACATATTATAATATATGAAAATCAACAAAACAAAGAGTTGATTCTTTGCAAAGAAAGATTAAATGTCTAGGAAGACCGAAAAAGAAACGAGGAGAGACAAATTACCATGGAAATGAAAAAAGAGAACGTTGCTGAAGATTCAATAGATATTACGTAGGTAATAAGAGGATATTATTAAAAAGTTATACCAATATAATTGAAAATATAGATGAAATTGATAAATTTATCAGAAAACAAAACTTATCAAAAACTCACACAGTATGAAAATATCCTAAACAGTTATGGAGCAATTTGAAAAATAATTGAACCTATTTAAATTATTCTCACAGAGGAACTCAGGCTCAAAAGGCTTCACTGGTGAATTTTTCCAAACATTTAAGGAATAAATGAAACGAATTTTACAACAAATCCTTTCAGGGAATAGGAAATAAGGAACAGTTACTTCCAAACTCATTTTTTGAAGCGGTAACACCAATACCAAAACTTGTTTAAGACGAGACAAAAAAGAAAAATTATAGGCTAATATCTCTCATGAGCATAAAATTCCAAACAAAATATTACAATTAAGAAATATATAAAAGGGATAACACTCCATAAGTGAAACTTACGTTAGGAATGCAAGGTTGGTTTCAAGTACTAAAATCAATCAATATAGTTCATCAAATTATGAGAGTTAAGGAGAAAAAAACACATGAATATCTTTTTTTTTTTTTTTTAGACGGAGCTCCCTCTGTTGCCCAGGCTGGAGTGCAGTGGCGTGATATCGGCTTACTGCATCCTCTGCCTCCCGGGTTCAAGCAGTTCTCCCTACCTCAGCCTCCCGAGTGGCTGGGAATACAGACACCTGCCACCACACCTGGCTAATTTTTGTATTTTTGGTAGAGACTGGTTTCACCACGTTGTCCAGGCTGGTCTTAAACTCCTGACTTCCGGTGATCCACCCACCTCTGCCTCCCAAAGTGCTGGGATTACAGACTTGAGCCACCGAACCCGGCTTGAATATCTTAATTGGTGCAGAAAATACATTGATAAAATTCAGCACTTAACTGTTCTATTAATGTGTAACAAACTATCACAGATTTAGCAGATTGAAACAACATACATTTATTATCGCAGTGTTTCTGTGGGTCAGAAATCTAGCGAACCCAGCTGGATCCTCTGCTCATGATCTCACAAGGATGCCATCAAAGTGTTGTCTGAGTTGTGTTCCTTTCTGGAGCTTACGACCCTCTTCTAGGCTCACGTGGTTGTTGGTAGACTTGTTTTTTTGGTTGTAGGTCCAAGTCCCCGTTTTCTTGCTGACCGAGGATATTCTCAGATCTTAGATGATGCCTGAAATTCCATCCATGTGGCTCCCTCACACAGAGTTTTACAGATCCTCTCTCAACAGAGTACCTTACATCTTCAAGACCATTAGGGAAAACAAAATTTCTGACTTCTAAATCTGCTTTTAAGGGGCTCCGTGAGCCATATTTGGTTCAGGAGCCATGGTTTACCAATGCATAGGTCACAGAAACTTTATATACATATGAAAAAAAAAAAAACAAAACCCTAGATCCCTTTGTTACTAAATACAGACAAAAACAATTTGAGATGGAGCAGAGACCTAAATGTCATTGCAAAATAATACAGTTTCTCAAAGAAAACATAGACAAATACGTTTTGTGATATCTATTAGAAAACACTTTCTTAAATCGGGCACAAAGTCAACTTTTTAAGAATAAATTATCAGACTACATTAAAATAAGAACAACTATTTAAAAGACAGTATTATAAGAAAAATAAAAATGTATCTATAACTATGTATCTGGAAAGGTATCTGACAAGTCCTCACATATATAATACATAGACATTCTTACAAATATATAGGAAGACCAAGGTAACTCAATAAAACAAAACTCTTAAACAGAAACTTCAGAAAAAGGGGATATCCAAATGGCCTGAACAGCCATGTGAAAAGGTGGTCAACGTTACTAATTATCAAGGAAATGCAAATTAAGACCACAATGAAATATCACTTCATATACACTAAGTGAGCTAAAATTAAAAGGATTGATAATATCCAGCATAGATGAGGATTTGGAATAAATAGAATCTTACACTACTGATACATGTGTAAATGGAGCAGCTACTTATGTTCATCATGTTTATCACCAGGAGAGTGAATAAACTGTGATATAATCACACAATGAAAATAAACAGTAATAAGATGAATTAATTTCTTACATATGCCAAACATAGATGAATCCCAGAAACATTATTTTGAGCTAAAAAAAAAGTCAACCTCAATATATTTTGCATTATTCCATTGTTGTAAAGATCAGTTATAGGAAAAGCTGATGGGGAGGGGAGGGTGGATGGATGTTGACAGGAAGGCAACATGGTGGACCTTCTGGGGTGCTATAAATGGTTAATATCTTAATCTAAGTGGAGACTATATGAACATAAACTTCATCAACACATGTATAAATTTACTAAATTGTATACTTAAGATTAATACACTTTACACATGTGACTGTATCATGTATGTCAATACAAAAGATAAAAAGTTAAATCTTTAGAAATTTTCTCCCCTGCATTGCAATCATTTCCTTTATAATGAAATACAAACAAATGTAAGCATTTGGAAGAAACAAACAAAATAAATGCTGAGATAGAAGAAATGAGAGTAGGAAGATGCAAACCTATGGTTGGCTGTCATTAGCACATAAATTCATATTTGCTTATACAATCTTTATATACCTTTCCTGTATTTACCAAGAATGTAATTATGAAATTTTGGATAGTAATAATCTTCAGATATTCCAATGAGAATGGGTACGGTGTTATATATCATATTTGCAAGAATTTGCAAATATTACTATTCCTAGCCATTTGTTAGGTTGTGACTAATTTTATTTGATATATAGATATAGATACATGAACTGACTAAAAAATATGAAAATTGGCATTTAGTGTATTTCACTGGTGCTAGAACTCTCACGCATATTGATGCTGTTTCCGTCTCAGCTATTCAAAGTCCATTTCATCTTTGAAATAATAAATTGAATTTATAATTTTAGACATAGTTTTGAGAGTGCTCCTTTAAACTGTCAGGGTTGATTAAGGAGGCAAAGAGCCAAATCTTAAAAAGAAATGCTGATAAAAATTGACTATTTCTTAAGGTTGATGTCATGACAATTTCTGATGCTGAGTCAATCTGCCCCTCTCTTACATTGTAGAAAACAGTGAAAGCTCAATTTGACACCTTATGCCTTGAGAATATTTTCTTAGTCCCAGTGTAAGGTAAATGGGAAGTGAATGTGAGAGCTGTTGAGATGAAGCCGCTAATTTACTGGGCTTTTCTGCTGCATTTAGTTGTGGAACTAACTCCCTTCTGTGTGTCCTTTGGCCTTCATGATATTTTCCATGTACTCCATTGATATTTTAGCTCCATCACACACTTATTCATTCAAGCTTTTAAACCAGGAGTCATTTTGGACTTACTCCAACCATCCAACCATTCTGCATTTTAGAAAGAGGAATTTAAAAACAAATCTAATTCCTGTTGATTTTACTTTCTGAAGATTTCTCAAGTATTTTATTTTCCCTTATCCAGTTGGATTATTACAGGAGTCTACTAGCTAGTCACTCTGCCTCTTGTCTCTACCCTCCTAAATCTATCCACTTCATATCATATAGGATAATCTAATCACAGCATGAATTTGCCCACCTTTCTTTCCTGCTGGAATCAACTCAATGGCTTGTCATCATCTGTCCTATTATTGTCTCATTATGGATGTTCTTTCCTCCCCTTCCAGCCTCATAACCTACCATTCTGCTTCTGTCTCATGATCTAATTATAACAATTTTATTGCTTCATTTCACTACTTCATGCTATTTCATGCTTTGGTGTTTATGATTTTACTGTTTCCCTTTACTTGAATCTCCCTTCCTCCTTTTATATCTGGTGAATTTATTTTCAGGCTTTAATATGCATCCCATGTGACACTGCTTCAACAATGTCTTCCCTGAACCATCCAAGTAAATGAGATGCCCTTTGTCTGACCTCAAAAATACCCTGTACCTATTTCCATCTTAGCACTTGCCTTATGTTGGTCATTCTTTATTAGATTAGAAACTTTCTGAACATAAGTTAATGTGTTATTTATCTTTGGTCTTCCAGCACCTAGCACAGGCTGTTGTTCACATAGTAGACACTCTATAACTGCAGCTTGCATGACATCTTCTGATGTGGCATTTCAAAAGCTCATGCATATGTTACCTTAGTACTCTGGGAAACTCAGAAGAGTCATATCAATTCTGGCTATTGCCAACATGCCTGCATATTAGTGTAACTGACACATAATACAACCATTATTTAAAAGTAGGTAGGTTCTTGATAATTATAGTCTATGATAAATCAAAGACATTTAAAGGTACAAATGGGTTTCCAATGGCTTTTTTTTTTTAATACCTAAGTATGTTTCTCAACTTTTTTTGTTTGCTTTTCTGCAGATTGCTGCCAATTCCTGGGGAAAGTCATGGGGAGAGAATGGCTATTTCAGAATTCTTCGAGGAGTAAATGAGTCTGACATTGAAAAGTTGATTATCGCAGCTTGGGGCCAACTGACAAGTTCCGATGAACCATAACGTATCATTAAATTTCCATAAGGCCATGCCTTTAAGTAACCCCCTAAATTGAAGTTTAGCAATATGACATTCTTGGTGACAATGGAATCTTTGTCTCTTCACCGTGTTAAGATAATCTATCTATTTTCTTATATTCCCCCCTGGTCTATGCTTCTGCTTCCTTCATATTACTGAGCATAAAAAACACCAATAAAGGACAGCAGAGTGCCTAAGTGCCTTTAAAGTTCCCAGGTTGCCTCATTTTTCTGTCATGATGGTGTCCCTTTTGCCTTTAATTGTTCACAAACAGTGTGATGGCATCTGCCTTAACAGTTTTTAGCACTCATTTGTAGAAATGGTGTGGTTTCTCTCTTTGATCAATGAGGATCTTAGACAACAAAAAGCAAATTAGAATTTCAGCAATTTGCCATCTTTATAACTTTCTTTTCATCCAAATAACACTTTCTTAGTTCAAGCCTTGCTTATGTTTTGCTTAAGCAGTGGAAATAGATTATAAGTTGTTTATCTCAATAACTTAACATTTTGTTTCCTCTCATTTGCCTAAACCTACCTTGTAATGTATTCACAAAATGAAAAGCAACTCTCCACAGGAAATAACTACTCTCTGCTGTACTCTGCAATGGCCTGTGAGGTGGAGATGTTAAGCAATGGAAAAGCTTGGAGGCTAACAATAGAAGTACAGTTCTGACATACACACAGCCCTGTTTTTGGAAGCTGGAATATTTTATGTAAAGTCTATTAATATCAGCTGCAAAACAGTATTTGGAAAGATAACAAAAGATTTACCACCTCAAAACAGCAACATGATGCCATGATTCAGAAAGAATGTATATACACTTTCATCATAAATATACTTTTATCACAGTTTACAGCTTGAAATTCTAAAAAGTAAGCTAAATTGGCACTCATTTGCATGTAATTTTTAGTTCTGTATAGTCAGAGAAACAAAAATAGCATCATAGCAATGGTTGAGAAAGGAGATAATCTTTTAATAACTCACTGACATCTTAAATGGAAAACTAATAAACGCAGAAGCAAAGCTGATCAGTAAGTGAACACAATTGATTATAATTACAATGGTGGGCTCTCCATGGCCTGAATTTCTGGTCACTATCATCTTAATTTTGATCATTGGGATATTTGTTCTGTTATTGTGTCCAAAGATACCCTGATTAGAGAAGCTAGACATGATGAAAATGTGAGGGAACGGAGCACAGAAAGGTGAAGTGTTGTTGCAATTGTTGACTTCTTCATTAATCACTGTAGCTTTATCAGAAGCAGCATTTAGTCACTTGGTTCTCCCCTAGAAAATATGCATGAGGGTGAGTCACCTTGTTGGGATTGGCTGGCATTTCCCCAAAGAGTTGAGAAATAATTTGTTTTTTTCTCTGTTTGGGGTCCTCTAGAAGCAGCCCATCAGACAAAGTTTTGAGCATGAACAATTTGTTTAGGCCATGAAGAGAACACTGAGAAGGCAGTGAGGAATGATATGGGCTAGTGATGGTGGACAGTAAAGGGTATATTGACCTAGTTCTTATCCCACTGAGGACTCTTTCTACATTCTTCAGATCCATAACATTGAGGAAAGAAGTGTTCTTTGGTTGAGGACTGTTCCTGGGGTCCATGGATTCCTTGTTCTTTCTAGTCTGGCAAAAGAGGGGGAATAACAGGTTCCAGTGTCAGAAAAAACTCACAAGCAAAGAAAGGCAGGTTCTGGTAGTTTGATGTCCACTGAAATGGTACAGGTGAGGTAATGTGGGCAGGGCACCAACAGTGTCTATAGTGGATGTTAAAATACTTTTAAAACGCTTTTAATGCTGAAGACTGCTGAAGTAATAAATTCTAATGCACTAAAATGCCAGATGACTAACATGCCTATAAAAAACACGGGATTATGTTGATGCCCTTTTACCTTTGTTGTACAAATGGATGATAGATATTGGAATTAATGTTTCACTTTGTGGTTTGTGAGCTTAGGTTCTGCTGTTTCAAAAAGTCCTGACTTTCTAATGACACCAAATGGTGAGGAAATTAAATCCAAAGGGAAAGAAAAAAGAAAAAGAAAATACCACATTAGTAAGACCCATAGGAAAGCACACAGTGTGTTCATCTAGCAATTACAGACCTAAAGAAGATATAGAAACTAGTTGGGATGGAAGTATATCAATGGAATAGGGAAAATATTGTTATTGAGGTTTGTTGAATCAGTGTCTTCCCTTGAATAGTGTTATCATTTTTACAACTTTAAAGAGCTTGTTTAGTTTTACTTATTATTCAAGGCCTCCAAGTCAACTTTCAGAAACTAATGATTAGTATATTCCTTGCCCCACCCTAGGGATTGAGTAAACATTTGCAGAATTAATTTAACTGATGCCCAGATAGTTTCCTCCCACAAACTGAAGTATGAAAAACCTTGAAGATAAGGGTGTATGGCCTCCTCTATTTCATGACGTTTGTATGATCTCATTTTATTCTAAATAACAAATAAGCTTCCCCAGTTTTTTTAAAATGAAAAATCAAAAATTATCTTAAAAATACATAAAATGGAATGAAGTTTATTAGTTGGGGTTCAATCATTAAAAAGGAAACTTCTGTAAATGTTTTGAACAGAAGGAATGTAGTGAAAGAAATTGCTTACCTAGGCAGTGGGGAATCTGGGGGGCAATGGGGAATGGTGAGCCAACCCAGAGCTGAGCAACAGTAGAAAGCTGCCATCACCTCTAGACTGAGGGACAAAACAAATTCAAAGGTCTGTAACTGGAATCTAGGGGCTAGTGTTATCCCACCAGTAGCTGTAAGCATGACTGATGGAAACTGGAGCCATGAAAAGACATGGCGCTACCAAATTTGCCAGCTGAAGCAGAGAGGAAGTTGGAGAAACGTTGTGGCCTCCCCCTCTCTCATGCCGTCCAAATGCTTATCAATACTTCTCGTTGGCTGACTCAGCTGAAAGACAACTGGTATCAGAGGTTCTAAAACTGAGCTGTCAGGGTCAATCCCAACCCTTTACCAGATACACGGGAAAATAGGATAAGGGTGAGGTATAAAGTAAAGGGTAAATGTAGAAAATGAATTTTTGACTCATCTCATGTAGATATTGGAAATTAAAGATTACAAAAAAGAATATTCTATTAAAAGTTGCTTTATAAATAATAGTTTATGGACTTGGCCCCTTAGTTAATGCATATGTCTTAAGTACTATAACGCTTGCTATTACGCATCTCGTTTGGTTAATCTCTCTTGATTTATAGATAATATATCAATCTATGCAAGAAAAGGTATTTTTCCACTTTCTTCACAATAGTTCATTGAGATCTGTCTGAAGTTTACTATCATTGTGAAGTGGCTACGTTGTCTGGGGTAAATACCTGGGGTTTGTTGTCTCGCACTAAGAAAACTTAGGACGTAGACACACATATGAGAAGTTTAAAAGCAGAGGTTTACCAGGCAGAAAAAAGAGAAAGGAGAACAGCGCTCTCTCTGGTGAGAGATGGTGGCTTCCGAAAGGGAAAAGGTCAGCAGGTGGCAGAGTTTTTCACCAGATTTTACAGTCAGGCTTGAGGAGGCGGTTTCTGATTTACATAAGGCCTACATATTGGTTTGATCAGGTGTAACGTTTATATAGCATGTGGGGAAGGCTGGCCACCCCATCCTATTTTTTTTTTTTTTTCAGATAGAGTCTTGCTCTGTCTCCCAGGCTGGAGTGCAGTGCTGCAATCTTGGCTCACTGCAACCTCCCCCTCCTGGGTTCAAGTGATTCTCCTTCCTCAGTCTCCTGAGTAGCTGGGATTACAGGTGCATACACATGGCTGATAAGAGGGAAAGATGGAGCCGCCATTTTGAACATGATTGGCACAACATCTATGTCTGCAGCTCGATTTTATAGGCTGCTCTTTGTTAGAAAGGAAAGTGATTTGGGGCTGCTTTTCATTTAAAGGAAAACCTTACTGAGGACTTCTGTATCCTCGCTATGTGCGTAAGTAATTTCTTCTTAACTCCTACATCAATTGCCTATCAAAACAATTATGATAATCTCATCTCAGGACATTTATTTTTATTTGGGTGGAAGTTGATTTAATTTCAAAGGGAAAAAAGGGAAGGAAAAGAGACTAGTATCTCACAAACGACCATTTTATGAAATGTGTCAAGAGAGAAGAGCATTAATACCTCAGGTGTCACCATATCAGAAAGGAGACTTCTAAACAACACACAGACATTTCTTTCCCAGAGACGTCAATGAGAAAGGAAAAAAGTATCAGCCCAACACTGTCAAGAATGGAAGATTGAATGAAGGGAAAAGGCTTCTCCATTTCTAGCCAAGAATACTATTGTGATTATTTTGATATTATATGTGATAGAAATGTTTAAAAAGTAATTGATAGGTAAATTCAATAGAGTGAGATTTCTCCTCAAAGACATCACCAGTAAGAGCCCCATTAGTTAGAAAAAAATGGCAAAAACTCTCACCTCTCTATACATCTCCTCTGTATAACCTCCACCCTCTGGCAAGCAGTTTAGCTCCATGCTTCCCAAGTTATTCCATGAAAGACTTGTTGATATGATTAGGCTCTGTGTCCCCACCCAAGTCGCATCTTGAATTTTAATCCCCATAACTCCCATGTGTCAAGGGTGAGATCAGGTGGAGGTAGCTGAATCATGGAGGTGGTTTCCCCCATGCTATATATATTTTCCCCCATGCTATATATATCTGGTTTTATAGGGAGCTCTCCCCACTTTGCTTGGCACCTCTCCTTCTTGCCATCTTGTGAGGAAGGTGCCTTGCTTTCCCTTCACCTTCTGCCATGATTTCAAGTTTCCTGAGGCCTCCCCAGCCATATGGAACTGTGAGTCAATTAAACCTCTTTCCTTTATAAATTACCCAGTCCCTGCCAGTTCTTTATGAGCAGTATGAAAACAGACTAATACACTTGTCTTCTGAGATCATAAGGGGAAAAATGTCTAGTTATATTGAATTTAAGCTATACATGTTGTATCGTATTCTCTACTTGAAAGATGCACAGTTCACAGGTAGGCTGTTGGGAAATTCGGCAAGTCTAGCACGGCTGGATTTCAGTCCTCACTCACATCAACCATGCATCCTTTGTGGTGGTCACCATGTTCAATTATACACAATGGCTCCACATATGACCGCAGACTCTTTTCTCCTAAAAATTCCCATAACATCACACACTATCTAGTCAATATTATTACATGCCTGCAGGGTGTT